TCAGTCCATCTGGTGAAATAGTGGAGGGAGATTCAGTGACTCTGAGCTGCAGCAGTGACTCAAACCCTCCTGCTCTGAACTTCAGCTGGTTTAAGGAGAATCAAAGCTCAGCTGTTGGATCTGGACAGAGTTTCAGCATCTCCAGCTTTAACTCCAGTCACAGCGGACGCTACTATTGTGAGGCTCAGAATAAACATGGATCTCAGAGATCAGCGTCTGTTTCAGTCTCTGTTAAAGGTATTCACCATAAACAGACACTCTTTGAGTTTCATCTGTCTCTAGTGTGAAATTATCTTCATGAACTTCTTGTTTCAGGTGTTCAGAGAGCTGCTCTGCACACAGTTATTGGGATTGTGGTGGGATGTGGAGGATTGATCATCATCATCATCATCATCATCATCATCAGTGTGTTTATTAAGTGAGCTCCTGCATTATAAAGTCATTTTACAAGTTAACACAAATGCAGAATTTGTTAAACTTATTGCAACATGTTAAATGTTACTTGCAATAAATTATACTGTTCAGTACTTTGTAACAAAATTTCCAGGAAGAAAAGGAGAGACTGTGGAGCTGACGTTGTCAGACAAAATCAGGCAAGTTTGATAATACATATCTCAATCTACAAAAGCAGCAGGACCATGATATAGATATTATATTTGACTATAAAAATTAAGACTTAAAAAGTAATGTACTGTTGCTTGACTAATATTTGAGAAAATATTTCAGATTGATCTCACGATAACTGTGTGATTGTTATTTTATAAAACAGCAGGATGATCGTGTGGGCAGATCAGCAGAAACGGCTCCGACCAATGACGTTCCAGTGTATTCACTAGTATCAGCCAATCAGAGGGATGATCTGTATGCCAACATTAAAGCGAAGAAACCCAAACGCTCTGGGAGAGAACAAACAGAAAAAGACTCTGGAGGTGCTGAAGAGATTCAGTATGTCAGTGTCCATCACTTCAAGAACAAAGACATGAACAAGACTGAAGAGACTACTGAGATGCAACATCTATCTGATGACAATAGGTGAGAAACGTTTCGTCTGAACCCAAATGAAACCTATTCAATGCTTAATCAGACCTCTTGTTTTTTTGTTGTCGAAATGATGGATGGTCACCTGCTGGTGGGATTTTCTGAAATGCCATATTCTTTTAATTTCTCCCCAGATCTGAGGACGTGATCTACAGCTCAGTCAATTGAAGAACATGTGGTCGATCCGCATCCTATTGATGCTCATCGGAGACCTGGATTTGAGTCCATCCCAGGTCCATGTTCCAGCTCCCTCTCCGCTTGATTTCAACCATTTACATATTTATGGGACTGTTCTGCTGTTTGGACATTAATGGCTTTCAGCTTAAAATCCACTCGTTTATTACGATCTTAATTGTGAATATCACACACACTGCCTTCACTCTACACTCACACATGGACGCCACTCAGACCTGTAATAGCCCTTTAGCTCTCGCTTTGTAATGTCAATGTGGAACAAATGTTTTCTTTTGTGTGTTTATACCGACATTTTATTGCTAAATACATTAAATTTTAACATTGTCAGAAAGTCTTTATTTTCATTATGACATCATTGTTATGACAATTTAGCACATTTTATCTTAATTGCTGCTCTGGTCTATTTGCCTATAAATAGCTGAACCAAGTTATAATAATTTTCAACTACCTGCTCATAAGACATATGTTTTCAGATATCTATTTTTATTTGGTTATTGAGAGTGTTGATGCCGTTAGTGACATTCACACAAAGGCACTTGTAACCATAATTTTAGCCATTTAAAATGAATTAAAGTATAAAAAAAAATTACAATGGAGCTTGGCAACAAGCTTCACACTGTAAGTTGATGAGTTGGTTTACCTGCCTCTGGTAATAGAGCCTTTAGATGTATGCTGAGGCTTTTGAGGTCGGTTAGAATCTGCAATCTCTGATCCAGTTCGTTTACCGTGTTCCATGGCTGCAATACGCTTAATGCCACCAACTGGCAACCCGGGGTGTCGAAATACTAATGGGCAAACTGGCAGTGTGTGGAATCAATCAGACCAAAACAAAAACAGACATTCCAACACAGAACCAGTGTTGCCAAGTCTACAGTTTTCTGGTGGAATTGGGCTAGTTTTATACTGCTGCCATGGGTTGTTTTTTTAGTCCGTAGGTTGAAGCAAAGGCCTCCACCCCCCAGGAATGTGATTTTGACCAAGGTGGAACCCTGTGTTGTATATAAACAGTCATTTCAGCATTTTATAGGAATGCTCCAGGTACTAACATAACCTTGGGTTCCCTGAAATAACAGTAATGAGCATTGCGTATACCATGCTTGAGGGAAAATTCTGTTTTCTCAGAATACTGAAGCCTGATTTGTTAATGTTCTTGTTGTTACCCAAACAAATGGAATTTCAGCTCGCCAAAATGAGCAGGGCTGACTGCCTATACAAGTCAGCACTGAGTGTCATTTCATCAGAATCTTTCGACTGACAATCAGCAGCGTCCACTCATTTACAGATTTTTTGGCATTTGGTCCACTATAACAGCTGTATTTTGCATGTGTGCGTGCAAAGTATAGGTTGAACGGGCTCAGCATTTATAGTGCAAACAGCGCCACCAACACTCAGAGCTGAACGGGAAATTGGAAGGCAAGCGCAAGACTTCTTTGAGGGAGGTCCAGCCATGGCAGGACTTAGTCCTCTCCTTTTCTTTTCTGCTGAATCAGGATGGATTCTGCAGCTCAGTGTCCAGCATCACTTTGGCCCTGGTGCTTGGGGAAGGGATATCACTTTGCAGTCTGAGGGCGCTGTCGGAGCTCAAGGTCTGACTTCGACTGAGGCTGAGAAGGTGACTGAGCAGGATTTGCAGGCTGTTGAGTCGGCGAAGCCTTCTGGCGACATGAAACAGGAAGTGGTACATAGCTTGCGATGACTTCTGCACTGCAGTGAAGCGCTCCACGAAACCGTCCTGAGCACGGCCAAACAGCCCAATGGGGGAGCCTGGGGAGTCGAGGAAGGTGGCTTTGTCTGTGTCCTTGATCTTAGTAAGGTTTAACCAGATCTAACAAGATGGCCATCGCCCTGCCGATCGCCTGGGCAGTCATACGTAGCACGTAGAGTCAGGTCAGTCACGCTGCTCAGCTCCTTGAAAGAAGCAGGGTTCGGGCCTGACTCTTCCATGGCACAGAGGAGCTTGGCCTGGAAAATCTGGAGGACCATTATGGTATGGAGCACTGAGCCAGCTTGTCCAGCCATGCAATATGTTTCTTCCTCCGAGGCTTCTGGGAGGGGAGAAGCAGGAGAGTGCGAGGGGCGGGACGGCTTTCATGAAAGAAAACGATCTGCAAGTGTAGCAAGGCGAGACTCATGCTCTCATAATGAGGCCAGTCTGTTTCTGTTTTCCTCTGCATGGATGCAGCCCAGGCAAGCGACGCACTCAATGTGCTCGTCCCAGGCATGCAGGGGTGCTCTGCACATGGCAAGTAGCAGGTTTCTTCATTCTTCTTTCTTTGGCATCCAGTGAGGAGATGATCTTGGTGCTGTAGGAGAACGACTGTGAATGTGAAAAATTGTGACTTATATGGGCAGTCATCCCCCACCTTTTTGCATGCTAAAATGCATTTGTTTGTGCATCTACACGAATGTTAACAAATCAGGCTTCAGTATTTGGAAAAAAAAGAATGATATTTTCCCCATAGTGTGGTAAATGCAATGTGAGTGAACCGTGTCAATGTGAGGGAACACGTCAATTTAGAATAAGAAAAGAATAGTTTCTTTCTTACCTTTGTAGTCTGAAAAGTCCATTCAGAGAAAAAAAAACTTTATGTACAGTTGGCAATGTGTAACATGAGGACGCGCAATTTTTGAGAAGGTTGCATATAACGTTCGTCTAATTAATGACACTGACGTTGCAAATATGCAAATAAGAATGTTAACCCATGGAATTTACAGAGTGAAACAGCAGCTTATGAATACACAGGATTAATTGTTAACCCTAGGTATATTATAAGCAGTGTGAAACAAGAAGCAAGATAACCCAGGATTCAGTTTACCTGGGGTTTAGGATGACCCAGGGTTAACCATTTCAAATGTGAAAATGTAGGTTATTTTTTTCTCGTGATAGTTGAGACTTATTTGCATAGAGACAGGAAATGTTATCATTTATATCCCCTGCTTATCACGCCTGTTTAGTCGTCAAACTTACCATCTACACTCTGACTACTAGTGAAGAAAGCTACTGCAAACAAGGTATGCGAGTTTTATTTGATAAAGAGTTTGTGAAATGTAGTGGTGTGAGAGAAGAAACTGATAGCTTTTGGTACAAAATGTTTGTCGGTGGGTCACTTCTTTATTGACCATGTTATGCCAAACAGGACCTTAGTGGACCTTTATATCACAGGGCCTGAGGATGCTGCACTAAGCTTGGAGACACTAAATTGATTCATTTAAAGTAAGTTTTAGCAAATGGCTGCAATATAACAAAGAGTGAAAAATTTAAGGGGGTCTGAATACTTTCCGTACCCACTGTAGATATTTATTATGATGAATATGATTTGGTAGTAGGTCAGCTAGGCAATGTACAAAGCTTTAAGCTCTCATTCCCTTTTTGAGTCCTGTGACTTTTACTATTACGCAGTGAATAGTAGCAAAAGCCATTAAAACCCATTATAACCAGTGATATTTTCCACACTGGATGCGGCACAAAATGATGTGAAATGACAAATCCCCGACAGTAAACTGATGCCATCCAGTGTAGACACGGTGTTAGAATGCAACATAATAATCTGATGTTGCAAAAAGAAAAAACAAATGGAAAGGACAAAGGAAAAGCCTTAAGCTTGTTTGAGACTCATTTTTAACATGTATGAGCAATGTAACCACAGTTAGCAGAGCAAAACCTCCACTTCACCCCTGATCTTATCAGTTGTTTGGGTGATGGCGAGTCACAAGATGGTTTTTGAGTAGCATTTGTGCAGTGGTGGACGAAGTACACAAATCAAGTACTTGAGTAAAAGTACAGATCCGTATAATAAAATATTACTTCAGTAAAAGTACTCAGTTTTCAATTTTACTTGAGTGAAAGTAAAAATTACTTGATTTTTTATGTACTTAAGTAAAAAGTACAGATAGATGAATGTTTATTTTGCAGTTTTATATAGACTACTTTTAGCATTTAATTTTATATTAGCATATTTTTTTTTATAATCCTACTGCTCAAAATACCTGGGATTTTCCCAAAATAACCAATAAGGAAATAATGAATATAATAAGGAAAATATCATTATATTTTCATAATGATTTTTTTCTTAAACCTTTTTCTGTGGTGTAAAACACCCCTGGCCAAATGCCCCCAGAGGGCATCACTTCCCACTTTGATAATTACTGTAGTTACCATGTTCTGAACATCACATCCTTTCTTTTCCCCCAGATATAATCTATCTAGGTGGTTGAATAAAAATATTTGGACTTTATTAAAAAAAAAATTACCTCAAATTATCACCGGCAGGCTCGTTAGCTAGACAGTTAGCATCAGCTAACAATATTTACTTATTTTCAGTATGGTTATGAATAAACATTCATATCTGTCTACTCGGCTAGTTAATCCAAACAATATAAAAATGTATACTGTTGATAAACAATATAAAAACAGACGTCACATAGGGCTAAATGCATAGCATTTTAATAAAACTGTTAACGTTACGCAGCGGGGTATATGAACGTGCATGAGTTTCAGCATGGTTATGAATAAACATTTATATTTGTCTACTCGGCTAGTTGATCCAGATACATAGTGTAGCTTAGGCTATGTGTGCTGACAAACAATATAAAAACAGACGTCACATAGGGCTAAATGCATAGCATGTAAGTAAAACTGCTAACTTTACAGCAGTGGGAAAGATGAACGTGCATGAGTTATTTTATTTAATCTGTGTTATTTTAATGTTTTTTGACCTAAAACATAGAGACTCTGATGTTAATGTGGCTGCATTCAAGCATTTCAGTGGGCTTAAACAGATCACCCTTTACAGCAGATTTAGTTCACAAACAACTGACAGCTTTGACCTGCGTTTGGTGCGATTTACGAATCGTTTTACCGGGATCATTGAAAAGAATCAGTTCGTTCATGAATCAGACACCGCTTCTGCGTCTCGGAGAAAGTGATATATTATAAGGAGTAACGATAAGTTTTATGAAATGTAGTGAAGTAAAAAGTACGATCTTATGCTTTGGAATGTAGTGAAGTATTACGTAAAAGTTACTCAAAATAAAACTACTCAAGTAAAATACAGATACTTGAAAAAATTTACTTAAGTACTTCGTTACTGTTCACCAGTGCACTTGTGCTATTAAGAATTGTTCCTTTGTACTAACTAAATATGATAACAAACCCTTTTCAGAAGCTTCATTGCTAGTCGTGGTGTTTATAAAGTGCATGTGTGTGTATTTATGTGCTTATTTATAGAGCTGTGATGGTTCAAGTGGTGATGAGTGTTAGAATGACTCTCCTTTCTCTGAATTTTCTGCTCTTGATGTCTGGTGAGTCACAGTTGTTATAATGCTGTGTTGCATTTTTAAAGCATGCATTAAGAATCCATTCTACACTTCAAAAGCACTCTCAGCCTGTCAATCATTTTTTCTGATGTTGGGTTGGCTGACATGTAGAGCGCAGGGCTTGAATTTGGCACCTTTAAATGGATCATGTGCCCAGTTTGTACAGTTCTGTGTCAGTGTGATCACTTCTGCTTTTCTGCAACACCCTCTTGCAGTACGTTTTACACTTTTAACACTTTTCACTCCAGCAACAAATTATTTTTATTCAGCTACGTGTATAAATAAGCTTTGCTGCTCTGTGTTTTGTATTTCAGGAGTTTTGGGAGAAAACTGGAATGTGACTTATGAAACTGAATCAATATATGCTCTTAAAGGATCCACAGTAAACATGTCATGCGCGTATACAGTGCGCAGTGATTCTGGCCGTTACAGCTGCGCCGTCAGAGGACATGAACACCTGCCCTCTCCTGCTGTCAGCATCACGCTCATATGTGAGTAGAAATAATGTGTTTTTTGAACTTTAAAACGCATACACACATTTCATTACACCAAATACACAAAATAATGTTCTTTTTAGCAGCATCATATGACCCCTTTAACTTCTTCTTTGCCCTGGACTCTGTAAACTACAATAAATAGTTGGTATAATGGCCCTATCATGGTCTCTGATTGGTTAAAAACCCAACCAATCAGAGACTCTCTTTGCCTGTGACTCAAATGGCTTTGGCTGGTCAGCAAGGCTTCATCAGCCCCCTGCTGGTAGATCCTGTAACTATACCATCTGACTGCTCTTTCTCAGTTGAAGTACATTTTTTCCCCATTCATTAACCATGCATTCTGACCTAAATACCTAGATATTGCAAATATTTTATTATAGTATAGATGTTTTACCAGAGTCAAATTATTCTTGGAGTGCGTTTAAAAGCATGAAAACAGAGGTGTATTGCTTTCTCCAGGTCTTGGTGTGAATCAGGGCATGTGGCTGAAGTAACAAAAAAGTAACTAATATCGCTTACTGTTACATTTAAAGTCTAATTCTAATCTGTGTTTTGTAGCGTAAATATAATCATTAGTTGTTGCAATACCAGATGAAGAGAAACTGTTTGACCATTTTGCTTAAAGTGCAAAATGAAACTGCAATATCCACAACTTTTTTCAGTTTTTATTCAACAAACAAATAAAGATATATGAAATATGAATATAAACCATGTTTAACCTCTAGATCCTCCACAGAGTGTCCATCAGTGCATCTGGAGGGCTACTTTTATACAGTTGCCATGGGTTGTTTTTTTAGTCTGCGATCAGGTTATCTGCATCAGGTTAGTAACGGATCCGGTTAACATTTGGCATACGTTTAAGTGTACTTATAGACCACAAAGGCCAAAAAGGGAATTTCCGTTTAAGTCAACTGAATGTTGTTCGACTAGCCTAAATTTGGGTGGGCCTTACCTGTGTTTACTCTAGCTAAGTGTACATGGGAAATCATGACATGACCATACCAAAGCTACTATCAGAGAAAGTAAAGTTGTTGGCTTATATCTATAATAGTGATCATGACCTCTGACTAGAGATAATGTTCCTTTATTCAAGTGTATACAGATCTATGGGGACTAAATGAAAGTACTTTTAGAATGAGCAAGAAAGGGGTGGCTATCTAAATAGTATTAGTTAATTACCTGTGTCTAGTGACCAAGACTGACGAGCTTGTGAGTGTGAGATCTGTAGTGTTATAGGAATCCAACTGAACAAGTACAACACGATTAGAATAATCAGATGTCTAGATAAATTATCCTATGAATGATCAATAATAACTGCATTCTAACCGAAATTCGAGGTCATAATAGAATGGAGTCAGATTAGAATTTGACTGAAATTAAATTATTTTGCGCACCAGCAGGAAACCTTCAGCCACCATTGGATCCCTTTGTTGGGCCAACTGGATGGACCTTACAGTTATATAGAATAATGCTTAGTAACTTAAAAGTCCTTTAATGCAGCCTAGATCTTCTGTTTGAATATTAGATTCCTGTTCACCATATGGCCCAAAGACATTTTGACATGCATAGAGTATAAAGCTTTTTTATTATTATTTTTTTTTATAAATACTTGTGAAATGCAATACAAATATAACTTCTTGAATTTACATTTACAGTAGAGGCAGTTGGTCATTTTATGAATATGGAGAAGTTTTTTATTCAGTTGAGTTACATACAAAACACATTTGCATAGAAACTGGAAGTTATTATAATCACTGACAGATTATCTCAACTTGCGTAACATGTTCCAAACTCAACATTTGCTCTTTGTGTACTACTGATGAAAGCCATTGCGATCAAGGTATGAGAGTTTTTACATATTATTTAATAAAGAGCTTGTACATTTCAAATGTCAGTTTCAGTTTAAGGTATGTAAATATGTGAAGAATAAAGAAATATCATTGTAGATGACAACAAACATTTTTATTTACTCTACAATAACTACAAAACCAGTCATACAGGATTAAATATCGTCTGATCGCTGTTATTCATGAAGTGTCTATGGATCTCTGACACACATGATCTGATATAATAAAACTCTTTAATAGAGCAACACATAAACCGCTGTTGGACAACAAATGAATTACAACAAATAAATGATTTGATTAAGGACTAATGTGCATAACGTCACTAACATAGTCTGACAGTGATTGTTACCGTCCTGTATATTGTATCTAATAACTGTTGTTAAATAATCTCATGTGTTATGGCTGTGAAGATTGCAGTGGTGATGAAGGTCAGAATGACTCTTTCTCTTCCTCTCATCTTTCTGCTCATGATTTCTGGTGAGTCACAGTTGTTACAGCATCACTTTCAAAATGTTTTCTGCAATAGCAAACATAAAATATCTCTTATTCTCAAGCAGCCTCACTTAGGCAGCCTGACATTTTTTTTTGTTTGCTGTAGAAATGCTCTCAGCCTGTCAGTCACTTTGCATGTTCATAGTTGCTGAAATTCAGTTGGCTCACATGTCTTTAGAGGGTGTGGCTTAAAAGAGAGAAAGTGTGGTTGAAATTAGCGGAAGTTAGCAAAACAGGCGAAATTTACAAATGGCATGATGATTTCTTTGATCATATAAACTTGTTTACTGGGTTCTTAGTTGGATTCTATATTTTTGCCTGCATGTTGATGTGCTTGTTCAGTTTTTTCTTCATCATCATGATAATTAGCTTTTTTTAAACACCTTCCACACTCATCTGCCAGACTTTTAAAACGCTTCTCACTTCACAACAACTTATTGATATGATTTAGCTCCATATAAGAAAATGTTTTGCCACTAAACTTCTATGTTTTGTGTTTCAGGAGTTTTTGGACAAATCTGGAAAGTGTTTTATGAAACTGAATCAATATGTGCTCTTAAAGGATCCACAGTAAACATGTCATGCATGTATAAATACTACTATGATGGGTATAAATTAAATGACGCATTCTGGACCAAGAGATGGGATAGAGAGATGCAAAATTTAAAAGCATATCCAGAGTATAAAGACAGGGTTGAATACATTGAAGACAGACAAAACAAAACTGCCGTCCTCAGACTGCACAACGTCACTGAAAATGATGAGAGCGAGTATTGTTGCAGATACATAATTGAAAAAGATAAAGAAAGATGGATTGATCAACCAGGAATTCAACTTAAAGTTTCTGGTAATCCACTTCACTCCTTCGTTTCTATTAATAATTTCATTTCTTGGTCCTGGTTAGATAGATGTGTTTCTCCAGCTCTTCAGGTAAAGGCACCACAGCTGGTGCTGGAGAAAGAAAGAGTCAATCTGACCTGTGAAACCACATGCAGTCTGACAGACGCATTCATCTGGTACAAAAATGGACAGGCTTTAAAGATCCACAGCGAAACACTCCAGCTTCAGTCAGAGCGCAGTGATTCTGGCCGTTACAGCTGCGCCGTCAGAGGACATGAACACCTGCCCTCTCCTGCTGTCAGCATCACGCTCATGTGTGAGTAGATACGTAGTCATTCAGATTTATGAAAAATTATATCAAACAACTGAGTAAATATTCCAGAATATCATGTGGTTGCTGTTGAAATCATGCTTGAAAACCAGGTTGATCAGATACACTCTCTGCCTGTCAATCCAATGTAACTGTACCTAAATCAACTGACTGCAAAATACATTACAAATATTTTATAACAGAATAGATGTTTTGCCAGGTCTTTTTAAGTATTAGGTATTATTAGGTGCATTAGCTTCAGATATTAGACTTATTATTGTGAGTCAGTCCACATATAAAGTTAAAAATGGCTAAAATCGCCATTCAATTCAAATCTAATTCTCAACTGTGGTGTTTTGTAAATGAAATGCAATTGTTAGTTGCTGCAGTATGAGATGAAATTACAAACACTATATGAAGGGAAAGTGAAATTATTCAACAAATTATCCAGCAGTTTTCCCCCCCAGCAAACAAATAAAGATGGCATATGAATAAGAAGACCATGTTGTTTAACCTCTAGATCCTCCAAAGAGTGTCTCAGTGTCCGTCAGTCCGTCTGGTGAAATAGTGGAGGGAGATTCAGTGACTCTGAGCTGCAGCAGTGACTCAAACCCTCCTGCTCTGAACTTCAGCTGGTTTAAGGAGAATCAAAGCCCAGCTGTTGGATCTGGACAGAGTTTCATCATCTCCAGCTTTAACTCCAGTCACAGCGGACGCTACTATTGTGAGGCTCACAATCAATATGGATCTCAGAGATCAGCGTCTGTTTCAGTCTCTGTTAAAGGTAGAGCAGCTTATTTGCCTACATTAGTCTTTCTAAAGTGAAGCAAATGAGTCTGTTCTGATGTTTTACTCTGTTGTCTCAGTTGTAGGACGTCTGGCGATATTATACATATTCATTGGATTGATTTGCGGAGCTGCAGTTGGCATTGTGATATTTCTAATTTGGTAAGATGTCTAAAATCTCTCACATGAAGTATTCAAAAACTATTATTTACTAATATATACAGTCAGGATTTACAGAGAGGCAGTAAAAAATTGGTGATGAAAAGGCATGGACACATGGACTTGCAGCACTTTTATGGGAGGAGAGTATTTAAATGAATCATGCAAGGTTATTTGCTAAGTTTGGGGTAGGCAGTTTACTGGTGTTTGCAGCACTATTTAATGCCCCAAAAAGCATGTCTCAACCCATCTTGGTAGATCTTGGTCATTATGAAAATACATTGTAAGTAGATCAACCGCAGAACTTTCCACGCCCATCAGCACTTTTCCTGGGATTGTGCTCTCACGCTAATCTGCCCTGTTTAGTAAATCTGGCCTCAAATATTCTGATTGGTTGCATTGATTCATTTATGGCTGTAATTGTTGGACAGACAAATTGCTTGAAGCTGGAAGCATATCACGTTACATCTGCTCAGGTCATAATGTAATACAGACATTTTTGTTTACCACTGTTTTTATAGTCAGCTGTTTACACTTTGTTCTATGATAACATATTATGTATTCTACATATTCTACTTATATTCATTGTTTTAAAGGCGAAGCAGGTGGTTGAAAAAGAAAAATGATTTAATGGAGTCCCAGGTGAGAAATGGATTTGGTTATTGATGGTATACTGATCATGGAAATGAACTGGCAACTCAAAAAGTTGTTTACAGCATTAGTTATTTATGATCTCTCTGTTCTGTTTTAATGGCAAAGATGGATCATCCCAGAGCTCATCATGACAGACATAAAGCTTGTGACGTGACTGAACCTGTGTATGAGAATGTAACGGTAAGAGTTCCTTCTTCATGAAAGATGAAACCCTCCTCATCTTTAGCCAGAATGAATGAAATGCTCTTCAATGTCACTGTGAAAATGTCATATGTCTTTTGAATAAGTGTGGAGATTCGTATAACACAAAAAAGCTTGTTTAAAAGGTTTTCAAATTTAGAAACAGGCAGGATTTAATTTACTGTTGTCAGTGGCGGTTCTAGACCACATTAACTGGCTGAGCAGAGGCCACTCGTGCTTTTAGTGGACACACCATAACATTTACCTTAACATACCTTCAGGATTATTACAGGAAAAATAAGGTGAATACGAAAAGCGAGAAAAGAATATTTGCATGATCAAAGAACTGACTTACCACTAACGTTGTAACACTCCAAAGAGAAAGGAAAACTTGAAATCGCATCATATGACCCCTTTAAGTCTAGCGCTAGTTTAAGCACTCTCAGAAAAAAACTCGTTATATTAACCGAATCTGTTTACACTGCGAAATGAATCTCTTACTTACATAGTACGCACATCTGCACTTTGTTGTGTATCATGAGAGAAATGGCGAGAGAGCAGAATTTAGTCAGCGAACAAGTTTCGACTCATCTGAACGCTTCTGATTGGTTATTGCATTAATAAGCTCAACAGAATCACGTGTGATTGGTTCTGCTCAGTGCTGTAAAAAACGCATAAAAAATATGACGCAAAATGAAGCAGGTGGACGAAAAACGATTCAGTTGAGTCTTGAAAAAATGATTTTGGTTAGCAATTACTGGTCATGGAGATGCATTATTATTTATGATCTCTCTACTCTGTTTTCAATGGCAAAGATGAATAACTCCAGAGCTCATCATGACAGGCGTAAAGCTTGTGACGTGACTGAACCTGTGTATGACAATGTAACGGTAAGAGTTCCTCCTTCATGAAAGACTAAACCCTCCTCACCTTTAGCCAGAATGAATTAAGTGCTCTTCAGTGTCAGTGTGAAAATATTAAATGTCTACTGAATAACTATGGAAATTCAATGAAACACAAAAAGCTTGTTTGAAAAGTTTTCAGATTTAGAAACATGAAGTGGTGGGGTGGGATTTAATTTACTCTTACTATAAAATAAATCAAGTTATTTTACACCAACCAGAAGTGTGAACTATATTATTTAAGGAGAAGCAGGTGGATAAAAATGAGCAACGGTTCAGTTGAGTCTTGGGTGAGAAAATAGAGTTAGGTTATCAGTTGTTTACTGATCATGGAGATGAACTGGCAACTCAAAAAAAAATCATGATTCAAGTTGTTTTCAGACATTAGTTAATTATGTTCTCTCTATTCTGTTTGAATGGCCATGAAGAATAACTCCAGAGCTCATCATGACAGACGTAAAGCTTGTGACGTGACTGAACCTGTGTATGAGAATGTAACGGTAAGAGTTCCTCCTTCATGAAAGATGAAACCCTCCTCACCTTTAGCCAGAATGAATGAAATGCGCTTCAGTGTCAGTGTGAAAATATCAAATGTTTAGTGAATAATATGGAAATTCAAGTAACACATAGAGCTTCTTTGAAAAGTTTTCTGATTTAGAAACTGTAGCTAAGGCAGTGGGGCAGGACTGAAATTTACATTTAGACAGAGTAACTCAAGTCATTTTTTTATACCAACCAGAAATTTGAAGTATGTTATTTATGAATGTTTTAATTCTTTCTTTCTTTCTTTCTTTCTTTCTTTCAGCTTGATGGGAAGAGGCCGTAGAACTTGTGAGCTTAATGATTTTACAGAATAATGTATCTTAGTATCTTGAAAATCCTTTAATGCAGCCTAAATCTCCTTTTTGAATGTTAGATTCCTGTTCAATAAAGGCATTTATACATTGACATACATGTAAAGCTTCTTTAAAACAATTGTGAAATGCCAGACAAATAAAACTGTCTTGAATTGACATTAAAGACAGTAGATCATTTTATGAAATCTGGTTTCTAAGTTTTTTTTATTTAAATTGAGTTACGATACAAAGCATATTTGCATAGAAACGGGAAGTTATTATAATCACTGACAGATTATGTTCCAAACTCAACATTTGTGTACTACTGATGAAAGCCACTGCGAACAAGGTATGAGAGTTTTTACATATTATTTAATAAAGAGCTTGTACATTTCCATTTCAATTAAAGGTATGTAAATATGTGAAGAATAAAGAAATGTCCTTGTAGATGATAGCAAACATTTGTAGATGCTGGACCAGAGTCATACAGGATTAAATATCGTCTGATTGCTGTTATTCATGAAGTGTCTGGATCTCTGACACACATGATCTGATATAATAAAACTCTTTAATAGAGCAACACATAAGCCTCTGTTGGACAACAAATTAATTGCATTAAATAAATGAGTTGATTAAAAACAAATGACCTGCTATTATGCGTATTATTATACTAATGCACATAACGTCACTAACATAGTCTGACAGATTGCAGTGGTGATGAAGGTCAGAATGACTCTTTCTCTTTCTCTCATCTTTCTGCTCATGATTTCTGGTGAGTCACAGTTGTTGCAGCATCACTTTAAACTATTTTGCAATAGCACATAAAAAATCCATTATATTTAATCCCTGATATTTTTGCCAGTCTCAGCCTGTCAATCACTTTGCATGTTCACATTTGCTGACATGGCTCACATGTCTTTAGAGGGCGGAAGAGAGAGGTAGTGTGGTTGAAGTTTTGAAATTAAATGATGGTTTTCTTGCCTCCTTTGATCATATCAACTTGTCTTGAATTTAGTTGGACTTCATATTTTGGTCTGCATGTTGATGTGCTTTTTGCTCTGCATCATTATGATAATTTGTGCTTTTTTGCAACACTGTTTATTCTCATTTGCAGGACTTTTGAAACACATCTCACTTCACAACAACTGATTGATATTATTAACATTTGCAAACACTCAAGCTTCACTGCTGTTCTTCTATATGTTTGTATTGCAGAAGTTGACTTATGAAACTGAATCAATATGTGCTCCTAATGGATCCACAATAAACATGTCATGCTCGTATACATACCCTCAGCAGTATAAATTGATCGATAGATTCTGGACAAAGATTCCAGATGTAGAGATCAAAAGTTTAAAAAAATATCCAGAGTATAAAGACAGGGTCGAATACATTAAAGACAGACAAAACTGCTGTCCTCAGACTGCACAACATCACTGAAAATGACGAGAGAGCTTATTGTTTCAGAGTAGTAATTTATACTGAAAGACAAAAATGGTTTGGTCAACCAGTAATTCAACTTAAAGTTTCTGGTAATCCACTTCACTCCTTCGTTTCTATTAATAATCTCATTTCTTGGTCCTGGTTAGATAGATGTGTTTCTCCAGCTCTTCAGGTAAAGGCACCACAGCTGGTGCTGGAGAAAGAAAGAGTCAATCTGACCTGTGAAACCACATGCAGTCTGACAGACGCATTCATCTGGTACAAAAATGGACAGGCTTTAAAGATCCACAGCGAAACACTCCAGCTTCAGTCAGAGCGCAGTGATTCTGGCCGTTACAGCTGCGCCGTCAGAGGACATGAACACCTGCCCTCTCCTGCTGTCAGCATCACGCTCATGTGTGAGTAGATACTTCAACCAGACAATAAATCAGAAAATCTCTCTGCATTTGAATACAAGGGGTTTTGCATATGAGCCCCTGCTGGTAGATGATGTAACTACTATTTTCTATTAAATAGACAAACATTTCCTTTAACTTTAATACACAAACCAGTGCAATGCATAATTCAAAATATGAGTAAAACACCTGAAAAAATCCTGGATTGACATTAATTTATATGAGGTTCTGTGGGTAGCATGTTAATTATCATACACTTTCAAACGTTACAAATGTGCAGAGCTGAATGTTCATGGATTGCAGTAAAAATCACAAAAGTAGTTCCAGTTTGTGTCACAATGATTCTGTTGCAGATGTCTGCAGGAAAGGCCTCTGAATCCAGAGATCCTAAAAAATGCTTCTGTTCAAGATGAAAGAGATACAGACACAAAGAAACCTGAAACCTCAAGTGAGAAAACATGAATTATTCTGTCTCAACATAAGCCATTTGCAATGTTGAAGGCCAGTCTTTGCATAGCAGCTTTAAAGGGGTGGTTCACTGTTTTTTTTCTAGGCTTGATTTTGTTTATGTTTGCAGATATTGTTTATGCTCAAACAGCAACATTACACACCAACTAACGTTAAAAAAGTGAAATCGCAATCAACCACCCCTTTAAAAGTCAGTTTAGCTTCATAAAGTTTCATGCTCTGTGATGATCTCACTCGTTTATGTATTTGTCATTTTTGCAGATCTGCTGCAAGCCAAGAGATGGATTTATCTGTGATTTACAGGAGCATTAGATGATCCAGACTAATCTAAGTAGATCCACTAAGTAGACTTTTTCTTGCTTTAGTATTTTTTGTTTAATTTAATCATGTTTTTGAGTGTGCATTGTTTATTAAGCATCTGCAGCTCCATCTTAGTTAAAACTCTGATGCCTTACATCTCTTGTAATCCAAATAAACAAGCATGACTACACTCTGTGTTTGTATGTAGTGTAAGGCATTTGTGATCTCTCTCTCTCCATATCTAGACATTTAAAGGATTTGCTGTTTTGTTTCTCATTCAAGTCGCAGCATAAATATAATTTTGCAAAGTAAAATACATAGGCTTTTATTTACCTGTACTTAAATCAAGACCAGAGCACTGCAGGAACATGAACACATGTGAGACATGTTGATCAAAGTGAGAGTCGTCACACCTGCTCAGCTGT